TGAGTGAGATGGGGAGGGGAACCCAAATGTTTGCCTCAGCTGATCTCCAACTGCCATCAGGAGGGAGTTTTGAAATAAAAAGAACAGGCCTAAGCCCAGAGTCCTCAAGGTTTTTTTTTTTTGTTGTTGTTGTTGTTGCTTTGTAGGTCACGGGGCTTGAACTCTGGACCTGGGCGCTGTCCCTGAGCATTTCAGCTCAAGGCCAGTGCTCTACCACTTGAGTTACAGCACCACTTCTGGTTTTCTTGTGGTTCATTGGAGATAAGAGTCTCATGGACTTTCTTGCTTGGGCTGGCTTTGAATCATGATCCTCAGATCTCAGCCTCCTGAGTAGCTAGGATTACAGGTATGAGCCACCGGTGTCAGGCAGATTCCTCAATTAAAAAAAACAACTGGTAGGCAGAACAAAATTATTAATAGTGCCATCATTCTCCATGTCTTCTCCCTCCCCCAATTGCAGCCTGTGATGTTGCTCAGCATTATCACTACAGGGGAGAAAACCTAACTAAGGGTTCAACCTTGCAGACGAAGGGTAGCTTCACAAGGAGATGTGGAATCTTGAATGCTGGAAACTGTCACTAGGGGGAGCAAGTGTGCAGGGCTGCGTGGGAAGCACGGGAAGGTCCTTGCTTGGCAGGAGGTTGTAGGGATCAGATGGCCCATGGGAGCTCAGGTTGTTTTTTTGTTTTTCCTCCCTCTCTTCTTCTCTCCTTTCCTTTTTTTTTCTTTTCTTTCTTCCTTTTTTTCTTACCCTACCTTGCCCCCCACTCCTTCTCCTGCTTCTGTATGCTCTCTTTTCTTTTTTGTGCTGGTCCTGGAGTTGAACTCAGGGCTTGGGTGCTACCCCTGAGGTTCCCCCCTCCCTCCCCCACCCCTTGGCTAGAGCTCTACAACTTTAGCCAGAGTTCCATTTTCAGTTTTTATGGTGGTTAATTTGTAGATAAGAGTCTCACAGACTTTCCTGCCTGGATTGGCTTCAAACCGCTAGCTTCAGACCTCAGCCTCTGGAGTAGCTAGGATTATAAAGCATGAACCACAGGTACCCAGCCCCTCTCTCTGGTGTTTGCTATGTACTAGCCCAGGCTGGTTTCAAACATGCTACCCTCCTGCCCAGCCTTCTAAATGCTAGGATCATACGCATGCAACACCATGCCCAGCAGAGCCCAGATTTTCTAGTCCAAAAATCTTTGTCAATGTCTAATCCAGCACCTGCCAAAGCCTGGGGACATTTTTTGGGGGGGTCTGGTCATGGGGCCTGAACTCTGGGCCTGGGCACTGTCCCTCAGCTCTTCAGCTCAAGGCTAGCGCTCTACCACTTGAGCCACAATGCCACTTCTGGTTTTTTTCTTTTTTCTTATGTGGTGCTAAGGAATCGAACCCAGGGCCTCATGCATGCAAGGCAAGCACTCTACCATTGAGCCACCTTCCCAGCCCCTGGGGACATTTTTTATTTGTACAATTAGGGGATGCTTCTAGTTCATACTAGCTAGAGAGGGAGACTCAACATCCTGCAGTGCACAGACCAGCCCTGAGCCTTGAAGAATTATCTGACACAAACTATCAATAGTGCTGAGACTGAGTTCTGGAATCCAGCCCTTCTTATCCGTGACATGTGGTTGGGCCCATGCCCCAAATTTGATGGTGTCCTGACCAAGAGACAGGTCCCTGGTACACACATCTGTAGATCTTCCCAAGCCTCCAGCCCACCAAGGGGCAGCATTCATCCTTTCTGGGATGGGTGCAGGGGGCTGGCAGGCTTCAGACTCCCTTCTATATCCCCCTTGAGGGGCATTTGACAAGGGTAGCAGAGGCCTCTAACCCACCCAGCCCAGAATGGGGGGTGGACGGGGCAATCAGGGCAATCATCAGGACTGACATGGCATATGGCCCGCCAGCCTCACTGGCTGCTGGGTGCAGACACTTAGCAAAGCAGCTTGCACCATTCTAGCACTAGCTACCATAGCAACCCGCTTCAATGGGTCATTGTGGTAACCCTAGGCAACCTAAATCAAGTTGGAAGCAGGCATCATTCTCTTAACGGAAGGGATATTCCTTATCTGTACAAACAGTCCTTTGAGGGCTGTAGGAGCCAGGTCTGAACCTGTCCATGAAGCCCTCTCAGGAGCTGGGTGGGTGACCTTGTTCAACTGCTTAGGGCAATTAGAGAATTCTGTAACCCTTTATTCACTCTCCATTTGCAGGCTGGGGGTAGGCTGTCATAAGGGGCTGGCATAGCAGACATCAGTGCCTTCTGCCTGTCCAACCTGCAAGGCTGCCACCATCTCCTGCAGCCTTGTCTCCGGCAGCACTGTCTATGTTGTCTGGTGTGGAGCCACACCAGCCCTGTTCTATTCCTGTGTATATGGAGTATCTTTGCTTTCTACTTCTCAGTGTCTTTGAATCTAAAGCATGTCTTGGGCTGGAGACATGCATCAAGCAGGTAGAGCGCCTATCAAGTGTGAAGCCCTGAATTCAAACTCCAGTGTTTAAAAAAAGTATTGGCCGGGTGCCGGTGGCCCACGCCTGTAATCCTAGCTACTCAGGAGGCTGCGATCTGAGAATCACGGTTCAAAGCCAGCTTGGGCAGGAAAGTCCGTGAGACTCTCATCTCCAATAAAACCACTAGAAAACCGGAAGTGGCGCTGTGGCTCAAGCGGTAGAGCACTCGCCTAGAGCTGAAGAGTGCAGGGACCGCGCCCAAGCCCAGAGTTCAAGCCCCGACAAAAAAAAATAAATAAATAAAATAAAAAAATAAAAAAAGTACTGTCGCTGGGCGCTGGTGGCTCACGCCTGTAATCCTAGCTACTCAGGAGGCTGAGATCTGAGGATCGAGGTTCAAAGCCAGCCCAGGCAGGAGAGACCGTGAGACTCCTATCTCCAATAAACCACCAGAAAACCGGAAGTGGCGCTGTAGCTCAAGTGGTAGAGCGCTCGCCTTGAGCTGAAGAGCTGAGGGACAGTGCCCAGGCCCAGAGTTCAAGCCCCACAACTGACAAAAAAAAAAAGTACTGTCTTGGGGCTGGGAAGGTGGCTCAGTGGTAGAGCGCTTGCCTTGCATGCCTGAGGCTCTGGGTTCGATTCCTCAGTACTACATAAGCAAAAAGAAAAAAAGCTGGAAGTGGCACTGTGGCTTAGGTGGTAGAGTGCTAGCCTTGAGCTGAAGAGCTGAGGGATAGTGCCCAGGCCCAGAGTTCAGGCCCCACGACCGGACCCCCCCCCCAAAAAAAAAAGTATTGTCTTGTCCATAGCATAAAATTGGAGGATGTTTTTTTTCTTTGTTCTATTGCCAGTCTTTGTGTTTTGTTCCATAAAACATAGATAAAAATAGGGACATAAAGCCAGGCACCAGTGGCTCACAATCTGTAATGTAACTATTCAAGAGGCTGAGATCTTTGGCTCACAATTCAAAGCCATCATAGGCAGGAAAGCCTGTGAGATTCTTATGTCCAATTAACTATCCAAAAAAAAAAAAAGCCCCAGGTTGGATTCTTCAGCTCCACATAAGCAGAAAGAGCCAGAAGTAGCACTGTGGTTCAAGTGGTAAAGCGCTAGCCTCAAGCTGAAGAGCTGAGGGACAGTGTCCAAGAGCCAGAAGTAGCACTGTGGTTCAAGTGGTAAAGCGCCAGCCTCAAGCTGAAGAGCTGAGGGACAGTGTCCAGGCCCACAATTCAGGCCCCATGACTAACAATAAATAAATATCTCTTTTTAAAAAAATAAAGCTAGAAGTGGGGCTGTGGATAAAATAGTAGAATCTGAGCAAAGGAAGCTCAGAAAACAGCACCCAGGCCATGTTCAAGCCCTAGACTTGTGCACATACACGCACGCACGCACAAAAGTACTATTCCACGGTGTTTGGTGCCAAGCATCAGCCCTGTCTAGCAGTGATTTCACTCCCCTGAAAGATCCTGGTTCCCTGACCAGTCCCTCCCATTCTTCATCTCAGAAAATGAAGAACCTGAGTTGGCTCTACAGATAGGCTCTGCTGGACACTCCACAGGCCATGGCCCTGTCCTGACTTCTCCATGAAGCCCCAGGTTCCTCCCTAAAATGTCTGTACTTCTTAGCCTTGGCAGAATGGGATCCCGCTCCCCCTACCTGCCCCAGGCTCAGGCCCTAGTATTCCTCCAGGATACTAGGGCCAGCTGACTTGCTGAGACTGCAATCCACATGTTTCTGGGCTTCTAACAGCCAGCCTAGGTAGGGTACCTGGATGTGCCAGGTTCTGTGCCAGATACTTGGTGTGCACTGCCATTCAGTGTGATTTTTTTTGTGCCAGTCCTGGGGCTTGAACTCAAGGCCACAGCACTGTTCCTTGGCATTTTTTTTTCTCAAGGCTAGTTCTCTAGCATTTGATCCAGGGCTCCACTTCTGGCTTTTTGGTGGTTAATTGGAGATAAGACTGGCAACTTTCCTGACATACACTGGTTATTTGTCCACACTAACTGCATGCCAGGTAGGTAAGCAGCCCTCAACCAGAGGGCTTAGCTCTGCCCCCAGCTCTGCCCATGATTAGCTGCTGGACATCTAGTGAGTTAAGGAGAGTCACTTTCCTGGCCTTCGCAATGGGGACACTGCACCCTCCTCTCTCTACATGGCCACTTCTCATGGCTTTGTATTCCCATGCTTTGTCCATCTGTCTCTTCCACTAGGCTGAGAGCACCTGGTCACCATGATTACAACAGTGCCACCTCGACATTTTTTTTTTTAATGGAGGTGAGTGTCATGTAACACACAGTTGGGTGTTTTCAAGGGCACAGTTCAGTGGTGTTTAGCACATCAATAGCGTTATGCATCTATCACTTCTATTTAGCTCAGAATCTGTTCATTACCTCAACAAGAAATCCCACACTCATCATTCCTTATTACCCTCTCCTCAGGCCCAGGCAAACCTAGGCCTGGGTCTCTGCATTTACTTATTCTGGGTGTTTTGTGTAAATCACACACCATGTGTTAGAAGAGGGAAGCAGTGGGGTTTGGAGGCTTCTGGAAGCCCGTGTTACCTTTACTATGGCCTCCTCGTTGCACTCCGTCTTCTTCTGGAGCTTGAGGAAATGCCACAGGTCCACCATGGGCCGCTTGTCCCCTGTGCTGCTCTCTAGGAGGTGGATGGTAGAGGGCAGGGTCTTCAGGATGGACAGCTGACTCTCTAACTTGCTAATGCGGCCCAGCACAGGATCAGAGTTGTCAGGCTGCTTTAAGGATGGAAAGATGGGCTGAGCAGCAACTTCCTTGGGTGCAGGCATCTCTGAGGTCTGGAGGAAATCCTCTTCCCCGGAGAGGTCCTTCTTAAGCTCGTCCAAATGAAGGTGTTTCAAGATGCCCTGGAGCAGGAGATGCAGGGCCCTGAAGTTCACCACTCCATACTTGGGAACAGCAATGTTGGTCAACTCAGCAAATGTGAGGGATGGGCTCATCTTGCTGGAGTGCAGGTTGATAGGAAAAGGGTTTTGGGTTGTCCTTAAGGACAAGTTGCTTTCAGTGGCCCAAACTGCTGCATAGGCAGAAGCTTGGGAGGTGGCTGGTCACAGTGATCAAGCAAAGAATGGCCTCTGTCCTGGAGCTGATTGGCTTTTGGTTACTAGGAGACGAGAGAACATGATCAAGACACATGCTTCTGAGAGCCTGGGCAGGCCAGGTGCACTGGGGCGCACTTCACCCAGAAGAGATGACCAATTAATATTTGATGAATATTTGAATGGTGAACTGGCAGCCTCTTCATTGAAGCCCTCTGATCACGTAAGGCTGATGGCCCTTCCTAAGAGGTCTGGAGGGAGGGGATGGAAATGCAGCTTGCTCCTCAGAAGTCTCTAGAATCAGGACTGAAACCAGATTTCTTCCTTTCTTTCTTTTCTTTTTTTTTTTGTCGGTGGGGCTTGAACTCTGGGCCTGGGTGCTGTCCCTCAGCTCTTCAGCTCAAGGCCAGCGCTCTACCTCTTGAGCCACAGCGCCACTTCCAGTTTTCTGAGTGGTTTACTGGAGACAGAGTCTTGGACTTTCCTGTCCAGGGTTGGCTTCGAATCATGATCCTCAGGTCTCAGTCTCCTGAGTAGCTAAGATTACAGGCATGAGCCACTAGAGCCCGGCTTGAAACCAGATTTCTTAAGAGTCAGGAATGTCCAAGTTCAAGTGCTGCCGTGAAGGCCACGTTTTAAGAGAAAAGGACAATGAGAAAAGAACCTGAAGAACTAAGCTCATTTGTGGACATGGCCACATGCAGCCCATATTCATTAGGGTTGTATGGAGAGACTGACAGGACACACTGATAGCAGACAGATGGGAGGCATTTGTTAGGGGACTGGCTTCTGTGGTTACAGAGGCTATAGGCTGGAGGCTCTGGAGTGCTTCACTAGGTATTCCTTAAGCCAGTCAAGGTGACATTTGAAATGGACTATCACACCCCTAACGAATGCCTCTTGGTTCCCTGTTGTGCTGTGCCCAGCCAGTTCCCCATCAGCCAGACCTGCCACTCCTACCCACTTCTCACCTGCCAGGCTTTACCTCCCTCCCAGCCCATCCCATCCTCCTACAGAAAACCAGGGCACCTCTCCCCCTTGTTACTACAAAGCCAGCTTTCCCTGGGCCTGGTGGCTCCATCTGGTCCCCTGTGCATGCTCTCCCACCATGTGGTGTCCTTCCCTGGATGGTAAGAATATGAGATGGGTCCCTGTACCTGTCAGTGTCAGGGCTGGGCGTTGGTCTACTTCATCCTATGGAAGGTAAGGGGCCTTCTGCGGTGTGATATCTGGAGTTCTTGGCACTCCTTCAAGGTACAGACATTTGTGTGTGTATGTGTGTGTGTGTGTGTGTGTGTGTGTGTGTGTGTGTGTGTGTGAGACGCTGAACTTGGGGCTTGAACTCGGGGCCTGGGCACTGTCCCTGAGCTCTTTTGCTCAAGGTGAGCACTCTACCACTTGAGCCACAGCTCCACTTCTGGCTTTTTAGCGGTTAATCGGAGATGAGTCTCATTGACTTTCCTGCCTGGGCTGGCTTTGAGAGCTGGGCCTCCTGACTAGCTAGGATTACTGGCATGAGCCACTGGTGTCTGGTAAAGGAACAGACCTTTTTCTTCCTTCTCTTTCTAGTATCAGAACCAGAGCCCAGCACATGGCAGGTACTTAGCACACTTTTGCTCAATGAATGATGGCTCCAAAGGAGCTGTCAGCTCTCAGGGGGCCACATTAACCATAGAGATATAAAATAAACATCAGTCTCCTAATTCTTTACACTTGAAGAGCTGGAAATAGCCAGGGATGGCAGGCGTGTGAACAGCAGAACCCTCACACGCTAAGGCATATGAACAGGCAGCAGTGCTGTGCCAACTATTTTTTTTTTTTTTTTTTTGTCGGTCATGGGGCCTGAACTCTGGGCCTGGGCGCTGTCCCTCAGCTGTTCAGCTCAAGGCTAGCGCTCTACCACTTGAGCCATAGCACCACTTCCGGCTTTTCTCTGCTTATGTAGTGCTGAGGAATCGAACCCAGGGCCTCATGCATGCAAGGCAAGCGCTCTACCACTGAGCCACCTTCCCAGCCCTGTGCCAAGTATTTGGTATGACCCAAGTGGAGCAGCTCCATGCACCCTGTGACCCAGCCTTGTAGGGCACACAACCGAGAGAGAGCCTCAGGTCACATACTGGGGTGTTTGTAACAGCACTATTTGTAAGAGGCAAAATCCACATCTGGGATTTCCAAGACTCCAGGAGCAGCCAAACAGACAAACTGGGTCATATCTGCACATGGGAGTATTATACACAAGGAAGAGCATCAATGGGTCGTATGTTTGGCACTCACAGCTATAAAACTGGGTGGAAGCAGCCATACCAACCAAGTTCACGCTGCAGGAACCCAATGCTGTACAAAGCACAAAGATGAAGACGCTCACCTCTGAGTGTGGTGCCAGTGTGGTGGTATATGCCTGGACTCCCAGCAGCTGGGAGGCTGCAGCAGGATGACTGCAAATGACTCTCGGGTAACCTGGGTCCGCAGCGGGGAGCATGAGGTAGATTTCTGGGGTGTGGTGTGATGAGAGAAATTCACACTCACCACTCAGAGCACTGTGAGCAGGAGCACCGTCCTGTAGCACTGTGATGGGGAGCACCGTCCTGTATCGGAGGTCTGGAATTCTGCGATGCCCAAATCCTGACACGCTGGCTAGCTTGGCTGGCAGGCTCCTTCGCTGGCCTGTGCTGCATGCAAAGAACTGGCCTGGCAAGGTCGGGCTCTCACCCAGCCCTGGGGCGTGAGGACGCACACCCAGGCCTGGGGTCGGCAGGGTGCTGGCTATGAGACCGTGAGCATGTTCCTCACCTACCCTGGCCCCGCATGTAATTTGGGAGTCAGAGGTAAGCGTGTGCGGGCTTTCCGCTGAGCTGGAGGGAGATGCGTGTCCGGTGCTCAGCTGGGTGCCCAGCACACAGTGCTTAGTGATATTAGCTTGTGGGAGGCTTTCAGGCTCCTGGTGCATCAACCTGCTGTAGGGGCAGCGGAGACCAAGGAGGAAGCAGAGGAGGTGGATACTTCCTCCTGAACAGGTCACAGCTCCCATGGGCATTCCAAATGTCCTTCGGTCACCTGGGGCTTTTGCATTCCAAAAATGACACACTGTATATCCCAACCAGCTCCAACTTATGTAAGAATTCAAAAACAGGGCAAAATGAATCTATTCTTAAGAACAGGGTAGTGACTTCCCAGTGGGGTCTGCTGAGTGGAAGGGGCCAAGGAGGCTGTGGGTGGGGGAGGGAAGGTTGGTCACACTCTGGGTCCCAACCTGGTGCCAGTGCTGGCTGTACTGGTGAAAAATCACCAAGCTAAACACTTTGTTGTTGTTGTTTAGTTCATTGTGGGGCTTGATCTCTGGGCCTGGGTGCTGTTCCTGAGCTCTTCAGCTCAAGGTGAGCACTCTACCACTTGAGCCACAACAACACTTCCAGTTTTCTGGTGGTTCATTGGAGATAAAGAGTCTCACAGACTTTCCTGCCTGAGCTGGCTTTGAACTGTGATCCTCAGATCTCAGCCTCCTGAGTATCTAGGATTATGGATGTGAGCCACCGGCACCCTGCACAAGCTAAACACTTACAAGCACTTGTCTTTGTAGCATCTCAATGTACTATGTGAGCCTCATTTTTTATTTGTTCTTCTTTTGAGCAGGGTCTTGGTATGTAGCTTAGGCTGGCCTCAATGGCCCCGATCCTCCTACCTCAGCCTCCTGAGTGCTAGGATTACAGATACATGTAACACCACTCTGGGCTTATCAGGTCTGATTTAAACTCTGGTCTAAAAACAATAAACGGAGAAAGGTGGCTTTCTGTGCTGTCATGCAAGGCAACAGGGGACTTGGTCCTGCCCTGTGTGCCACTGTGCTGCCACCTTGAGCTGCTGCTGCATTGAAGCACACAGTCAGGAGCACGGGCTTAGGCACTGAGGGGTGTGCGTGAGAGGGTGGGGAACTGCTCACTTAAGTCCAAGAAGTGTTTGTTCACGGCCAGAGAATGGCGTCAGAGGTGATCAGAGGGCCACCAAGTGCAAAGGCACCTGTTGCAGAAGGTGTGCCAGGCCTCTGTGCTCCTGCCGCCCCAGTTTTGCTAAAATCTGGACTAAAAATAAAAGGCTGCCGGCTCTGCAATACACGTGTGCTGATGGGAGGCGAGCCTTGGGAGCCAGGGGAAGAGCCAGTGACGCGGAAGGAGCTGCGTTCTGGTGTCCCGAAGAAAAGGTGAGACGGGCAGTTCCACTCCAAGGTGGAGCAAGTACCTCCTGGGACAGTCGTGGGCTCCTGATTGGACAACTGGAGGATTCCAGAGCAAGAAGCAAACAATGTGACTCTACCCTGTACAAAGATGCTGGCCTCTGCTTTGTTGTTTCCTTCTGTTCTTGAAGCCTTCTCAAATTGCTCTGGGTGCCTCTGTCTCCCTCATTTGCTAGTAACAACTGTTTTATAATATCTAGTTCACATTCTATACAATTCCATCTATGTATTTTTTTTTTCTTTCTGCTAGTTGTGGGGCTTGAACTCAGGGCCTGGGCACTGTCCCTGAGATTTTCTGCTTAAGGCCAGTGCTCTACCACTTAGATCCACAGCTGGTTTTCTGGCGGCTAAATGGAGATAAGAGTCTTAGGAACTTTCAAGCCCAGGCTGGCTTCTAACCACAATCTCAGATCTTGGCCTCCTGAGCGGCTAGAATTTCAGGTGTGAGCCACCAGCACTCAGTGGAATCCATCCATTTACAATGTACAATTCAGTGGTTTTCAGGGTATGTGCAGACAATCTGTTTCAAAACATGTTTTAATCACTCTAAAAAGTACTTTCTCCTCATTTTCCTTTTCTTCTTCCAGTGGTTTTTCCTTTTCCTTCTTTCTCCCCCCCCCCAAACTATTAGACTGCTATCACTCTGACAAAATATCTGAGGGAGATCCTCTTGAGAAAGGAAAGGCTTACTGTGTCTCAGTCTCAGAGGCTTTAGTTTATGGTCACATCTCCCCATCACTGTGGGTCTGTGGTGAGGACCGAGAATCATGGTGGGGGTGCATGCCACTCACCACATAGTGGCTGGGAACAGAGACAGCAAAGAAGGGGCAAGGTCAACTTGTACTCTTCCATGACATTCCCGAGTGACCTACTTTCTCCAAGCAGGCCCATACCTTGTAGTTTCCACCACTTCCCAATAATGCCATCAGCTGGCAACCAAGCCTTTAGCTCTGGCCTTTGGGGGTACACTTCAGATCCAAATGGTAAGAGACATTTTGTGTAGATGGAGTCAGACAATACATGGTCCTTTGTGACTGGCTTCTTTCACTTTGTACAATGGTTTGATATTTTTATCCATGTTGTAGCCTATAGCAGTACCTCATCCCTTTTCATGACTAAATAATATTGTGTTGTATAAATAGGCTCCATTTTGTTTATTCATTCATCAGCTGATAGACAGTGGGATATCAGAAAACCAGAGCTAGACAGAAGCAAAAGCTGCATATACAGATTTTATTCAGGAATAACTGTAACAGGGGAAAAGTGAAATAGTCTCAATTCTGAAGATGACAAAGCAAGTAGGCATTTATACCTAAGGAGTGGGAGGGTGCTGTTGGTAGATGGAATACTACTGAGGCCAGGGTAACTCTTGGCTAATCTGATCTAACAAGACCTTTGGTGAAGGCAGGCCAGGGTAGACCCAGCACCCTGGGGTATGATAGGGATGAGGACTTAGGTCAGAAATCTAGGATGGGAACTTATCTAACAAGACTGGTGCTAAAAACTGAGCAACACAAAGAAAGTTTCAGATGTTCAAAAGCTGAAGTCCTCTGATTCAGAGGAGACTGACTGAAGTTTGATCTGTTATTCTTACTCTTTAGCAGTTAGGAATATGACCTTCCAGACTATGAACAATGGCATACAGGTCTTTGTGTGGATGTATTTCCTCTGTTCTCTTGGAGCATATTTCTAGAAATGGAATGTATTTGTTTTAGACAAAGTTGCTATGTAGCCAGGGCAGGCCTCAAACTTTCGATCCTCCTGCCTCTTCCTCTTAAGTGATAGGATTACAGGGATATATCCATATGTGGTTGTTTTTTTTGGGGGGGGTTGCATTGGTTGTTTTTCACAGGCCTTGGAGCTTGAACTCAGGGCCTGGGCACTGTCTGTGAGCTTCTTTCACTCAAGGTTAGTGCTCTACCACTTTATCTTTTCCTTTCATTTCCTTTTTCTTTCTTTCCTTCCTTCCTTTCTTCTTTCTTTTTTTGTCTTTTTTTTTTTGTCAGTCGTGGGTCTTGAACTTTGGGCCTGGGCACTGTCCCTGAGCCCTTCATCAGAAAGCAAGTACTCTACCACTTGAGCCACTGTGCCACTTCCGGTTTTCTGGTGGTTCATTGGAGATGAGTCTCAGACTTCCCTGCCTGGGATGGCTTTGAATTGTGATTCTCAGATCTCAGCCTCCTGAGTAGCTAGGGTTACAGGCGTGAGCCATCAGCCCCCGGCTCTTTTCTTTTCTTTCCATTTCTTTCCTTCCTTCCTTTCCCTCCCTTCCTTTTCCTTCATTCTTTCTCGTTTTCTCTTTCCTTCCTTCCTTCCTCCCTTCCTTCCTTCCTCCCTCTCTCTCTCTCTCTCTCTCTCTCCCTTTCTTTCCTACCTTTCTTTCTTTCTTTGTCAGTCTTAGGGCTTGAACTCAGGGTCTGGGTACTGTTCCTGAGCACTCTTACCACTTGAGCCACAGCTCCACTTCTGGCTTTTTGGTGGTTAACTGGAGATACGAGTTTCACAGACTTTCATGCCAGTGCTGGCTTCAAACTATGCTCCTAGATCTCAGACTCCTGAGTAGCTAGGATTACAGGCAGCATGAGTCACCAGCGCCTGACTTTACATTTAATCTTTTAAGGAACATTTGCCTTCATACCACACACACTTCAGTTGTTTCATTTATTACTGGATTCTTATTCAAGGCAGCTGGGAGGTGATGAGTCAATCTTGTAGGTGACCAAATTGAGGCCCAGAGCTCTCCCAGGCCAGCCAGTACTAATAATTGCCATTTGTATTGGGTGGCAGCAGCATGCCAGGCACTGTGAGCAGTGGCTCAGTGCGTGAAGCCAGTCCCACACAACAAGCTGCTGTCATGTCTCTCCCATTTTGAAGCCAGAAGTATTAAATACTCTGAGGAGCTCCACACCAAGGTGTGACCTAAGACTTGAACTCTGTTTCTTCTGACTAAAACTTAGGCTGTCACTGGTTTTGGCACCAGATCCCAAATGGATCCTGGAGGATCAGCAAATTTTCATAAGGCATCTGGTGGGGCTGGCATGTCCCATTCTATTTGCCCTCTGCTGTGGAAGACTCATTTGCCACCCTTTAGTCCACACTTTATTTCTCTTTCTTGGTTTCTACAGGTCTTTTCTCTGGATCCCTAAGAGCCCCCTTCCCTTCCCAAGGTAACTTCCTGCCTCATATTTCAACATGACTTCTTAGCTACTGAACAGGACATATTCAAATTCCCTCAGATCTGCATCTTTCTTCTACCCAGTCATACAAAACTATTTTTCTGGTCTGGGGGTGGAGCTAAGTGGGAGAGCATGTGCCTCACATGTATGAGGCACTGGGTTTCTAACTCCAGCAATACACACACACACACACACACATACACCCCACCCCTACATGTATTTCCCTAGACACCACATTTCACTTCTTTATGACTTTGCATAAGTAGCTCTCCTGCCCAGAGCGCCCTTTACCTCTTTTTTCACCTGGGGAACTCCTACACATCCTTGAAGGACCAGCTTAATTGCCCATCTCCTCTTTGAATCATTCCTTGTCTGGGTATTCCCTCCTCTGAACTCTCAAAGCTTGCTGACATCTTCAAAATAAGCTATTATGTTAGCCTCCCTAGCTGGACTGTGTACACTTTGAGAACAGAGATTGGGCTTCATTCCATTTTGTATATTTCCAAGGCTAGGACAAGACCTTGCTTGGTCAAGTGACTAAATGATGTAGATATAGCTTCTACATCCATACTGTCCAATTCAGTAGTCACAAATCACATGCGACAAACTTTTGAAATGGGACCAAACTAAATTTAGCTGTAGATTAAAATATACAATAAAATAATACAACATATTCCAAAGATGGTGTGAAAATAAAATATATCCACTGGTATTTTTATGCTAATACTGACATATTTTGCACATGTTGGGATATATAGTATCATTGAAATTAATTTCACCCGTGTTTTACATGTCTAAAAAAATTATATGTATGTGCTGGCCTCTCAGTTTCCTAATGGCCTCCATTGGTCTAAAGCACTCTTCACAGAGGAAACAGAATCAAATCATATATAGCTAAGTCTTATTATTTAGGATAATTATATACTATAAAATCTACTACAAATGATGAATTAGTAAAAAATGTTTAAAACAGAAAAACAAAAACAAGTGATGAATTAAGGAAAAACAAACCAACAACTCCCGGGGAAGGGGGGAATGTAGGGTTAAGACCTTGTGAGCCTCTGGTTACACATGCTTGTGAACAAATCAGTGTGCAATGTTGGATTTATGAGTATATAAAGAAACCTTGTTATATATATTGTTGATTCAAAGCCAACTCTGAAGTTCATTTAACACATTTTCTCAGTAACACACTTCACAGCTTTCTTAGGCTTAGGAACTAGAGAGCACTTTAAACCCTAAGCTTGGGGCTGTGTTAAACAGCAAAGTCACAACAAGAAGCACAAAAATGAGAGATTCATAGCACTTAAAGAGATTTACCTCCCCCCACCCCGACCCCAAGAGACACTTGAAGGCTAAATTTGACTTCAGCTTAAGAATGTGCAGAAGTGTATGTTCACAAATGAATGAGAAAGCACCATAGTGCTTTGGGGGTTAGAAATCAATGTCAGCGAGCAGGTGTATCTGTGAAGCAAATACAAAACCTTGTGAATGAGGTTGATCGATTATAATTCTACTGTCTAGCGCTCTTCAGCAGCGTGAGCTGACACTGAGAGTAACCGATCCAAGTTCCTCACCATAGCCTTTACCGTCCAGTCCTTCCCCACACGAGCCAGCCCCTCACCTCCCTGTCCTGAGGAAGCAGGCCCTAAGTCCCAGTTAGGACAGCTGGCGACTTTCCTTCGTGGCCCGGGGCGTTTCGTGATGGACTTGGTTCACTGTCCACCCGAAGGGAAGGTCCTCTGAGCGCAGGCGCAGCAACTTTACGCGCAGCGCCTAAACTGACAACTGTTTGCAAAAGTGCGGCATCCTTGCCCCGGGTGCGGGAGCTGGGGGGAGCGGCGGGGGACCGGACAGGGCCGGAGAACGCACGCCAGCCCCGCGGTTCCCAGGACGCCGCAACCTTCGCCCGAGCTGACTGACAGGCTCCCGGTCCTCCCACGTGCTCAGGTCGCGCCCGAGACGCCCCGCCCCCTGACGTCACGGAGAAGGGTCACGTGCCGCGCGAGGCCCAGCGCCTCACCGAGACGCCACCGGAGCCTACCGGCCTCCTCTGACAGGGTGCGACAACCAACTGCTGAGGCGGCCGTTCCGGCCGCAGCGTTGCCTCTGCTGACAAGCGGCGGGGACGGTGAGTCGCCTCGGCGTGTTCGGGGGTGGCGTCTCTCCCAGGAACCGCCTCTGAACGCCCATCACCCTCATCCTGAACGGGGGGCTGGGCCTCACTCCTCACAGGCCCGAGTGACCTGGGGCGCGAAGTCCCGCCCCTTTCCCCGCATTGCACGCCGGGCGCTTAGATCCCTGCCTCCGGGCTTGCGGCGGGACTACAAGTCCCAGGAGTCTTCGGGCGCACAGTTTGACTACAGGTCCCAGGAGCCTCCGGGCGCGCAGGCGGTCTGCTGGTCCCCCGGGGCCGCTGGGCACACGGGGGCGGCGTCCCCGCAGAACCTGCGGGTGGAGGGGGTTTACTGGTCGTCGGGTAGGAAGACCCCCTACCCGTCTTCACGTCCCAGACAAGCCTTGGTGCTTGGCTTCGGAGGTAAAAGAGGGGTGGGGACGGCTTGGCTCTGCTCGTCTTCTTCGGGATGGGTGCTGAGACCCCGGGCGGCCTGAGGGCGGGGGTGGGGGGGATATTTGGTGGTAGTTGCAGCCGCGGGGCTGCGGCCACCGCTTTTCCGGAGCCTTGGGGTTACCAGTCTCGAGGGCTTGGCTACTGGCGTGGCCCCCTCTGATCACTGGTTCCCACGATTTTTGAAGCTTGGGCCATTTCTCCGCGGAAGATGAGGGAGCCAGGGGTCTGAAGGAGGGTCTCCAAGCAGAGCAGCCCTGACGAGCCCCGCGGGTGACCTTGGCGGTCCCAGAGGAGCTCTCCCCGCGCTCCCCCCCCCCCGCCCCGGGCTCGCCGGCGCGTGCGGGACTGGTGGACGTGACACTGCGGGGCCCTCGAGCAAACTGGTTAGGGAGGCGGCCGGCCACCCAGGACCTTGACGAAGGTGGATTCCTTGGGTCCTCTCAACAGGTGGCAAGAGAGATGGAGTAATCGGCCCAGGATCTTCTGCGTCAGAACGACTAAGGGTCCTTGTTAACAGAGAAGATTCCTGGGTCCACCTCCACCCCCTTCCTAGGTTCTTACTGGGTACTTTACGGGGGTGCAGCACAAGAATCTGTATTTAATACGCTCCTCAGATAACTCCCCAGTACACTTGGGGCTGAGGATCAAGGGCTCCTGTCAGGGGGGCACATCCTTGTATTTATTATGACCGTTTTGTATATGTTCTCTGGGGTGGAATGTGGACAGTCAGGGCATAGGCAAATGGGATCGCTCTCCTTGGTACTTTGCTGCTTTCTGGGGGCTGACCAGAGTTGGGTGGGATGAAGAGGCCAGCCAGCTCTACTTGCCCTCCCTCTGCTCTTCTTTAAAACATTTTTATTAGCACGTACTGGTTGTGATATATCTATAAGTACATACATTGGACTCTGTTCAATTTCTTCTCTATCATTCTTCTTCATCCATCTTACGCTATGGCACCCCCGCCCTTTTTTGAACTTGAAGGGTTAGGGTTACAGACGTGAGCCACCAGTGCCCAACTACCCTGTTCTCCTAATGGGAAAGGTATTGTTAATCACTGGCCGTTTCAGGAAACCCAACCACTCCACATTTAATTAGGAAAAATCTGAAAATACAGACAAGTTGAATTTTTCCATTGGATGCATATCAACCTCTGCCTAGAATGTACACACAGTTAATGTTTCATTGTACTTTATCAAATATCCAGTATTGTTTATACATGCCAAAGTATTAGCACATTAGTACATTTCAGTTCCAAATAATTAAGCATGCACATTAGAGTCTTAGAATCTTGTTGCTTTTTAATATTTTTTATTTTTGTATGTGTGTGTTTGCCAGTACTGGGGCTTAAACTCAGGACCTCACGGTCTTTTTTTTCTGCTTATCACTGGTGCTTTACCACTTGAGCCATGCCTTCACTTCTGGCTTTCCCCCCCTCAGTACTGAAGCTTGAACTCCGGTCCTTGCACTCTCACTTAGCTTTTTTCAGTAAGGCATTCACTCTACCACTTGAACCACATCTTCAGTTCCAGCTTTTTGCTGGTTAATTAGAGATGAGTTTTCTCAGATTTGTAGGTCTGGGCTGGCTTCAAACCCTGATGGTGAGATCTCAGCCTCCTGAGTAGTTAGGATTATGGGCATGAGCCACTGTTGCCCAGATTGCTTATTGCTTTTTTTTTTTTTTTACCAACACAAGCCTTCCAGCCCTGAAGATCCAGAGATTTGGAGGTATTTCCTTAGCATGTACCTGATGAAACAGGAGAGACCTTTAGTCTTAAAATCCATCATTCTAGAATCACCCTGAGAGTAGAACCATGGAATGTGTGAATACTTCAGGGACTAAGATTGTTTTGAGAGGGAGAGAATGTAATGTGCCTCAGAGGCCATGCTGCCCCAGCAGATCATGCTGACAATAATTGAAGTGAACTTACCTGGTTTGGTGGATGTTTTTTTAAGCTCTCGGGAGCAGGGCTGGGAAGCACATTTGGTAAGCTCAAGAGGGCATGGCTTTGAGTTCCTGGGCCCCAGTATTTGGTCCCATATTCACATGCCAATCCCTCTCTTACCCAGTTAATTTGATACAGAAGAGACAGGCCCTGTAGAAATTTGTTTCAGAAACACTATTCAAGAAGGATGTATTTTTCCTCATAGAGGACAGTTTGAGAAATGTGTCAGTTAAAGTCATAGAATTGCATGCTATTATCTCTGCCCTGTATGTAGACAATGATCTAGTGGGAAGACAGCATGCCGGGGAAGTTCTGCAGAGTACCTGGCCCTGAGTGGAAGGAGAGGAGAGCCAGGTTGGCAGTGCTGATGGAAGGTTTCTTGTCTCATCTGTGCTCTGTCTGGATTCTCCCAAATACTATTCGGGGATGGGGGGCGGGCAGAAAGGGAGGTGGATAGACCTTTACTCTAAAGGAGATGGCTTGTCTGGCCAACTTCTGAGCCCTGGCCCTACTCTGCCTCTTCTACTCTGAGTCAGCAGTGCTCTGGGGATAGCGCTGGGATCTTGGGATCAGCACTGCTTAGAGGTAGAGTCAGCAGACCTTAATGGAGGCCAGTCCTGTGAAGTTGAAGCCATTGGCCTTCTCCAAACCTCATTCATTCCCATCTAGGTGAAGAACAACACCCAGGCCTGTATCCACTCTAAGTGTGGAAAAGATTAGGGTTCCTTCATATTAGATTAAGTAAAAACAATGTGAAGCCATGTAATACAGGGCAAATAGGTCCATCAAACAGGCACAGGGGCATACATGCTCCTGTAGTCCCAAGAGTTGAGGTGGAAGGATTACTTAAACCAGGAACTTGAGTCCAATTCAGTAATATTCTGGTACTTTCTGTGAAAACAGTTAGCACATTTTTGCCAATATTAGATCACTTTACAGAAAATATTTGTTGTTACTTTTCCAGTGTCCCTGGTTTGTGAGTGAGTGCTGAAAACTAGATTGCTACTAGTGTTCAATAAATGTTAATTCAGTCTGGATTCAGAGCTATTTCCAGTGTCTGGGTTTTTTCTTACTGAAGAAAAAAGCCACAACAGGTAGAAGTAGGTAAAGAAAGGTACAAGAGTTGCCTTGGGTGACTTTTGAAGAGAATTCTAACACAAAATGGAAATGTGTCATAGGTTCAGCTGACAAGAAAAGTACAACAGCTTTACAAGTTGGGGCTATAGAACAAATGAGAGTTTTGTTCAGTGTGGGGCTCTCTGTATGTGTTTGTTCTTTGTTCCTCCTTGGTGGGTTCTCACCTGTCATCCTCAGTGGTACAAATCTTCCAGCTGGGGAAGCAACAGGGTGTCTTCCGTGAAGTTTCCACACATCAAAGCAGGGCTGCCCACCCAGCTCTCTTGAACATTAGGGGTTAAAGGAAGAGAAGACCAGGGAAATAGGCAGGAAACAGGTTTCCTGGCCCCACTGTGATTACATCTCCATGGCGCTGATGGTACAATTCAAGAAATGATATTTTTTCCTGTTTTGGATTTTGGCCATAAACAAAGGCATTTGCAGGAGGGGCCAGTGAGAACTATGGCTATGCTCTGGCCTGAGCTGAGGATACTGAACATTTGGTTAGGAATAGTATAGCCATTCACTGAGGATAATCTCAAGCATTCATCAAATGTACAGATGGCTTGGGGAAGTGTGAAGTACAGCATGCTAAGGCTGGAGTGAATTGTGGTAGGCCTGGAACCTGGACCCATCAGATGAGATGAGATTGTAGGAGCATGTTTTGAACTATGGACTTAGGGGAACTTATCAGTTGGTCAAGGTTTAAGGGGGAAGTGTCCAGAACCCCTTTCAACCACCATTTGGTAACCGGGGTATAGCCAACTGAAAATAAGGCCCTCAGGGAGGCCAGCCAGGCTGTGGTGTCCATACTCCCCTGGTATTGTGGCAGAATCCACCTCCTGTAACCAGTGTTGTTTTGGGGCCTGGAATTCCCTACCTGTCTTCCTTTGGGGATGGACCCACAGCTAGAGCTCTGGCTGGTTTTCCCTGGTATCTTTTGTAAGTTCTTCCCAAGCATGCCCTAGCTTCCCTGAGGGCAGCTCTCTGAGCACAGGAACATTGAGATGAGTGATCTCGTGGAGTCTCCGGAATTGTTGGGTGGATTTCAGTCAAGTGTCTTGACTTTTCAAATGGGTATTCACTTGGAAGGGGTAACATGATAGCTCTGTGAGTAAAATTGGCTCATGCTTAAACCTGATGAATCCTAGCCAGTTCTAGGGGAGAAAGCCTCAAATGTTCACTTCTCAGTGCTCATATTCCCCGGGTATTCTAGTATTCCCTCAGGAGTTAGGCCTTAAACCCCTCCCAGCTCCCATCCAACTCATGTGCTAGTATCATTTACTTGCTTGGCCTCGAGAGTTGCTACACGGATCATTTTCTCAGAGGTTCTTGTCAAAATGACCAAAAAAGGAACTGTACCTATGGCCGTTGGTGATACCCAAGTACTTTGGGGTCCTCCCTTCAGGAGCTGCTTATTTGATACCAGGGCTTTGGTGGACCCGTTAGTCCACTGCTCCAGGCATATGAAGTAGGACAAATTTCAGTTTCCCAAATTCCCCCAAAGCCTCCCAGCGCACTCAGTAAAAATGAGTGTCCAGTTACTACAGGGCCTAACCCAGCTCCTCACCCCACCATCTTGTACCCTAAGCTCTCTTGCCACCAGCTCTGCTCAGATGTTTTCCCTGGACCTTCTCCTCATCTCTGCGCATGGCTCACCTTGCCACCTTTAGATCTGGAATGCTCTGTGTTTAGGGTAGAATCACAGCTGTGCAGCACTCATCACTGTGTGACATGCTCTGTATTTCTGTTTTACAGGTCTTCCTCCCATCCATTAAGACAGATGTCCCCACCTTGGTTGCCTAGAAAAGTGCCTGACACATAGTGGGAGCTCAGTATTCGTTGGGTGAATAAACTCAGATGCTATGTCTGCATTTCAGCTGTCTTGTCTCCCTAATAGCTGGTCAA